ATTATTTACATTTATTATTATTAGCATGTGTAGGTATATGGATTTGTATGAAAAATATCACCCAACACCACAATCACCGCCCGTCACTGCCAACTACGACCACCATCCACCACTACCACAACCACCCATCACCGCCAAACACCACCACCCACCACAATCACCACCACCGTCCACCACCAGCCCCACCCACCACAACCACCACCCACCATTATGGTCACCACTAGCCACGCCCATCACCACTACCCGCCACCATCACTCGCCTCCACCACTCACTTATTACCATCCAAAACAACCATACACGACCACCACAATCACCTCCCACCCACCACCACCCACAACCACCACCCGCCATCACCACTCACCACCCTTACGACTATCCACCACCCATATACCACCCCTACAACCCTTCACCACCACCACCACTTACCACCTACCACTACCAAACATGACCACACACCACCACCACCCGTCATCACTAAGCCATCAACACCAACACCACCTCTGACCCACCCACCACTCAATATAACCACCAATCGTCACCCTTCTCCACCACTACCACCACCCACAACCAATACAAATCAACTACCACCCATAACTACCATCACCCACCACCACCTACCAACAACCATCACCACCACCGTCACCATTATTGCACCACCACCACCTACCACCCACCCACCATCACAACCACCATTCATCGCCACCCACCACTACTACCATCGAGGTATGTTAGTATGCTAGAGGTCTTTGTGATTCTTGAATGTGTCGATAGTATGTTTCCAGACCAGGGTCCGATTCCGGGGTAAGCCCCAGGAATGTTAGATGTTGCATACTAGAGTATACTTGTTGTCTTTGTGATACATGTATGTTCCTGGAAAGGAATTAGTGTAAGAAGAGCAAGGGTTGAACTTGCTATTTATAGGGTGTTTTGGGCCCATTCACGTCGTGAACATGATAGGTTCACGTTGTGAACTTCCATGAGTCATCTCGTAGCCTTAACTCGTGTTTTCTAGACCCGATTAGCATCCCTGACACGTTTCACGTTGTGAACTTCATGCTCACGTTGTGACTTGAGGTGGCTAGGGTTTTCTACCACGTGTCATGCCCTCAGACAGCTACATCTTCGAAGGGTCATAACTTTGGCATACGAACTCTGTTTTCGACGTTCTTTATATCCACACGTAGGTGGAGACGTACTCTACAACTTTATTTTAGATCAATAGGGCTAAAAAGTAACCTATCATAAACTCACTTTTTATGATTCCCGGTGTCGTCTCGGTTTTGTCACGAAACTTCAACAGGTCATAACTTCTTCGTTATAACTCAGATTTCGGCGTTCTTTATATCTACGGAAACCTTGTGACAGATACTACAACTTAGTTAAGATTATTTATTCTAAATAGTCCTCTATCAAAAAGTCATTTTTGATACTTATCGTCTCTAACTTGACTAGCCCGAATCTGCGGGCGTTACACCCAGAGATAGGTGGGCCCTATGAGAGATAGATTTGTATACCGAGCGGGGCTCAATGCCGGGCGGGGCTTGATGCTGGGTGGGGCCCGATGCTGGAGCAAATATGATGTCGGGCAAGTCCCGATGCAGCGGGTGGGGGCCCAGTATGTGGCTATATGTCTGGTATGTGGTAGTATGGGGAACTCACTAAGCTTCGTGCTTACGGTCTTCTGTTTTGGTTTCAGGTACTTCCGGTAGCAGAGTAAAGAGCTCGACATAACTGCATCACACACATCGTGATGTTTTAGCCTGGGATATTTTACTCTGATATGATATGTTTAGACATGATACTCTGATTAAATATGTTTTGAATGAATGGTTTCATTATAGTTTTAAAATGAAAAATTTTGGACATGATTTTTGGGTCGTTACAAATATAATAATAAAAACTTTTAATTATAGTTAATAAAATAAGAAAATAATAACAATAATAATCTAAATAAAAGTAATAATAATAATAATAATAATAATAATAATAATAATAATAATATTTATATTAATAATAATTATTATATTTTTTTAATAATAATATGAAATAAAATGATAATAATAAGACAAAATTGCAAAAATGGACCCTGTGGTATGTATTTTTTTGGAGTTTTAATCCAAACCACGATCTTTTTTGATTGGTGGTCCTTTTGAGGTAGTTTGCTTGTGATTTTGGTCATTCGGTAAACTAAAAAGACAAAAATAACCTTCTGGTATATATTTTTTTTTTGTTTTTATCTATTTATTTTAAAGTTTTATTAATAAAAAATATGGGACCTCTCTCTCTCTCTCTCTCTCTCTCTCTCTCTCTCTCTCCAAAAAAACCACCCACCTGAGTATCATCTTTTTCCCATAAGTCCAACATCTTTTCACCATCGACACACCACCTGCAACCTCATATTTTTTATACTTCATCGACAACCAACACCCCCTTCACATCATCATTCCCATCGTCTACCACCACACCTTAAACTAGGCCTGCAAATCAGAGATAAAACTCACACAAGTTCATGTCTTCAACTGGGTTTATGTCATTTTTGTCTCGATCGAGTGTGTGTTTTTTCAGTTTTGTGTGTGTATTTAACTTAGATCTCAAAACTTTGATTATGTACGGAGATCTGCTTCGATTTATGTTGTTCCCCACCCCTTTTTTCTTAAGAACCCTATTTCTCTGATGGTGGTGGTCTGGTGGTGTTGAGAAAACGGGTTTAGAGCTACAACAACTTGGTGGTAATAAAAACTCGAATATGTTCTTGAGTGAAGATAGAGCCCTAATCGTGTGTATTACCGATGATGAACAACATGGACAGAAACCCTTACACAGGTTTGGATTTGTAACCAGATAATAGGAACAGAGGTGAGTTTGGGTTTGAAATTTGATGCATTGTGTTTGAGTTTTGTGGATTCCGATATGGTATTCTTCATTCACCAGGGAAGAAGAAGCAATGACAACCCTCCATCATCGATGAGCACACAGAATCAAGAATTTGCAACATGTTTTGATCGATTCTTCTTTTTAGCGTCATTAACAGATTAATCCTCGATGGAATCGCATCTTATTGATGAATAATTGATTTGTTCCATATGGCTACATCTCCGACTCTATGCACCGCCATACCCACCACCGATTTGCGTGTAATTCTTCATCATCGTTATTTGGTTCTCGGTGCCCCTGGTCAAATGGTGGAGATCAAAGTTTTAGATTAGGCAGAAGAAGAAAAAGAAGAAGAAATGGTAGAGAGGAGTGAAACTTAGTTGTTACCGGTGGAGGCTCCATCAAAGGTGGATGCTTGGTCTCGATGGAGATGGTGATTCCGATCTAGTAGGGGGGTGAACTTACAGAAAAATTCGAACACACACACACAAAGAGGGAGAGAGAGAGAGAGAGAGAGAGAGAGAGAGACTCATTTTTGTATTTATTTATTAATTATAAAATAGTTAAAAAAAAAGAAAGAAAAATGAAAAATAAATATATTAAGGGTATTTTAGTCTTTTCAATTTGGGAATGGACCTTTTCCACATACAAACTAGCTCAAAAGGACTACCAATCCAAAAAAAATGTGGTTTAGACTAAAACCCAAAAAAATACATACCACAGGGACCATTTTTGCAGTTTTGTTTAATAATAATAATAATAAATAATAGTAGTAATAATAATATTTATAAAAAATGGAGGAAAGCAAAAAAAAAAAAAAGAAGGGGAAAAGGCAAAAAAAAAAAAAAAAAGAAAAAAAAAAGAGAGAGAGAGAAAGAGAGGAGGGAAACATTTTTAGTTTTTCCGCTTTTAATTTCCTACGAACTCCTACAAAATTCTATTTTTAAATAGGATTTCTCCTGGTTTCTAATTTTGTAGGTATTTTGTTAGATTTCTATTTTGTTGCATTTTTGTTGGAAATTTGATGGAAATTACCTACAAAATATATTCGTAGGTAATTCTTGGTAGCTAAAACCAAATTTTCTAGTAGTGATGTATTACATAGTTAATTAAAAATAAATAAATATAAAGGTGTAAATATTTAAAAACTTTGGATTTATAAAAAAATAATAAATTATTAAAATTGATGTTTTTATCTTTTAAATTTCAATAAATAAATAAATAAATAAACTAATGACCTTAAATTTTGAAACTTTGAAATAAAAAGGTAAGTTCATTAATGAAATTGATATTTATTTATCACTATATTTATTGTAATTATTACACTAAAGTATTATGCAGAATTTATTAAAATAAAATTTTAATAAAATGACATGTGAAAAAAAATAATTCAAAATAACCATAAAATAACATTTGACTAATTAAATTAGAGTATGACATGCGGAAAAAAAACATTTATTTATAAGATTAGATTTCGACCCTGTTTAATGGAAAAATATTACAGTTAGTTGAACAGTAGTCATTTTTGTCAGTTTTGTATTTTCCATACCATTTTTATCTTGCATTTGTAGTATTAGTACATCACTTCTAACTTGTTGTTCATTTGATCATGTATTAGTTTATTCTTCTATTATTGACCCCTCTTAAGGAGGAGGGAGTCATTTTCTCCCAATCCAGTAACCCACTCTCACATCAGTTTTGCTTTTTATTTTCTTCATTTTTCCCGACCCATAACGTACGAAAACCCTATTTTTTTCAATCCACTCAACCCATTCAATTAACAAAAATACAAAACAATTAAGATAAAATCTTAATTAACAATAGGTTACCGCCGGTACCACTTCTTTTTCAACGGGTTATTTAATTGGTTTCACTAACTCACTCCATCGTCTCTCTACTTTCTCTCTCTCGTTTTCTCTTATACCATATGTTTTAAAACTTGTATCTTAGTTGTTTGGTATTTTTTTTTAATTGAATGGGTTGAGAAAGATTGAATTTCCGTGTGTTGTGCGGTGAGAAAGATAAAGAATAATGAAAAATAAAAATTGATATTGGGTTTGGTGGATTGGAAGGAATGACTCTTATAGCCTTATGTATATGTATATCCATATATACATTAGTAATGGTGTGATCAGCGCAACCTGACTTACGTAAGTTCCTGAACATAACACACCATGCTCAAAGGTCCACTTCACACGAGCAAAGCCTCGCCCTCAAGATGGTTCAATCGACTTTACACACTCGTTTATACAGTTGCCATTTTCGCACTACTTTATCACCATTCTTGTAACCTCATCTACTCACCTTCTTTAACCACCTTTTTCTTACTCGTCGCTGATCTTGTGCTAGCTTTCTTCTGGGCAACCTGGCAATCTTTCTTCTTTAATCCAGTACACCGTCAGGTTTTCCCTGAGAACCTGGCACAAGTAGCGAAGGAGAGTGATTACCCTGGACTAGACGTTTTTGTTTGCACGGCTGATCCTTTCAAGGAGCCACCAGTCGGGGTGATTAACACTGTGTTGTCTGTGTTGGCATATGATTACCCGACAGATAAGCTATCGGTATATCTGTCAGATGATGGAGGGTCGCAGCTGACATTATTTGCGTTCATGGAGGCTGCTAAATTTGCTAAACACTGGCTACCATATTGCAAAAAGTATAATATATTAGACAGATCACCGGAAGTTCATTTCAGAAAGGATCCATCTCTGTTCCTTGAGACAAATGAAATCAAGGTAAACTTCGTATCTTCCTAGCTATTGCTATCTCAAAATTATGAACAATGAAAAAGAACACATTTTTCACATGGAAAAACTATTCATTATATTGGGGTTATTGCTCTAGAAATCTACAGTAATTAAATAGTAAGCTTAAGTAGGTATGCGTCACGTTATTGCTCTAGTAATTTCGACTTTTTATGCGTTTTATTGTTATTATTTTTTTTTTTTTGGATCAAGACTATCAGTTTCTATTAGGTTTAGAAAATGGTTGGATGATGTTGAATGAGTTTAAAGATTTTAATTAAGGGTTTGATTTTTTTCTTTTTCTTTTGTATAAAATCTAAAAAATTGATTTAGTAATCAAAGAGCTTTCTACCGTTTTGTTTCTATTTATCGTAAAATTACTACTAAGTATCAAAATTTTAAGAAAATTAATAGTACACACCGCTGAATCTACAATAAATTCATTGAGCACAAGTGAATGGAGATAGTCAACTGTCAAAGTTGGCATGCATTGTGTTTGTCATATCAACAATATCATGACATATAAACAAAAGATTGCCACATATATACAAAGTTTTAGGTGAAGGGCATCTATCCCCAACTAATTTGTTCTTTTAGTAAAAATAAAAAATTTAATCATTTTCAATAAAATAAAATAAAATTATATCAAAAATATTGTTGGAAATAATATTATTTGAAATTGGTAATAATGTTATGCATTTATACAATAGAGTTGAAACTTTTGTTTTTCGTAAAATTTTATATGGTTATGGTTTAACTTGTTTCAATTTTGAGTTTATTTATTTATATTAGTATCTTTTGAATGTAATAATTGTTTCAAATATATTTAAAATTTTAATATTTTTTAACAAGTTATAACAGAGTAAAATATTTGTTTTAATAATATCACAACTAATTTCAATTATTTATATATGAATTGTTTGTTGAATTGGTTATATTTATTTAGTAAATATAAATATTAAAGTTATTATGACATAAAGATTTAGACAAATTTTTTTTATTAAAAAAAACATAAATAAATAAATAAATAACCTAGCAATAAAAAAATTATTTATGAAAACCTAAAAACATTATAAAAAATTTATAACTAAATTTTTTTATTAAAAAATTGAGTAAAGTTTCATAATAATCATTATTGTTACAATTTAATTTACTTCATTATTGTTGTAAAAAAAAAAATAGGGTTGCTTCACCCCAGGCGCCGCGCTTGCATTTTCTCCTTTAATTTGATAAATATCAATTGTCGTAATTTTGAATTCATTTTTTTCCACATATTATTTTTTTGGATTTTCTTGTTTTATTAATTTCCATACAATATTTTTAATGTAATAATTGCAATCAATATAATATTAAATGGATATCAATTTCATCAATGAGCATATCTTTTAATTACAAAAATTTTAAATTAAAGTTTGTTAATTTCTTTTGATTATTTATTTTAATTATTTGTTTAAATTTAAAGGATAAAAAACATTTTAATTTTAATAATTTATTATTTTTCTTATTTTGTTATAAATTCAAAGTTATCAATTATTTAGACCTTCATATTTAACTTTATTTTTTAAAATAACTCATGTAATACATATGTTTCACAACTAATGTAAAATAAAGAAAGGGTATAATTGTCTTTCCTCATAAAATTGTTGTGTATAGCAAAATCTTGTTGTGTACGGATTAGCTTCTTTTGTAAAAAAAATATCATGTAGAGTGTTGCGTATTGTTGATAAAGAAAATATTGGAAACGGTTACTGTTAACAAAATACAAGTACTTTTTCTAACAAGCTCTATTTAGATTATGTGATTTTGAAATTGAAAGGGTGTTTGGAATTGCTTTAAAAGCAACTTTTTGGTTTTTTATTTTTCCAAAAAGTTAAAAAAATTGAAAAGTTGTTTGGAAAGAGAAAAAGATCTTTTGAAAACAACTTTTGATAAAAGGAAAAGAAAGCGTGATTCAAAAAGCCAATTTCTGACTTTTGAAAAGCTAACTTTTACCTTTTTTTTACATTCAAACACATTTTAAACTTATATTTTTGAGAAAAGATCTTTTATAAAAAGTTCTTTTTAGAAAAGAACTTTTAGCCTGGAAAAGATCTCCCAAACACCCCTCAATATTAGTAGTGTTATTGTTTAAACATTAATTAACGTAACAAAATTATATCATTCCTTTGCTTGAGAGCAGGCGATGTATGAAAACATGAAATCCACTATTAAAGATGTGATGGACAAAGGAACCATTGATGTTGAGCAATTCAATGACGATCGTACTATCAAAGCTCTCACTAAATGGACTAGTAGATTTACGCGTCACCAACATCCTACAGTCATCGAGGTTTAAATTTATAGCGTATCAAATTTTAATTTAATTACGTTAAATTGCTTCTTTAATCCGTGCATTTTTTAAAGCAAGTTTTAATTATTTATCAAAAATAACAAAGTTTGTATGATAATATTAATTAATCACAAACAGGTTTTACTAAAACGTAACCACGACAAAGATGTGTCGGGTCATTACATGCCGAATCTATTCTATCTAGCACGAGAGAAGAATAAAGCCGCCCCCCAAAATTTTAAGGCAGGTGCCATTAACGCTTTGGTACGTTACACAAATCACATTTACTTTAGATTTTAATCATGTATAGTATTAATTTTCATCAATTATAATTAATTAATTAATTGCTTCACCATTACAATCCCCTTATTTTGTAGCTTCGAGTATCTGCAACATTGACAAATGCACCTATATTCCTTATCCTGGATTGTGACATGTACTCCAACGATCCAAAAACACCACTTCGTATGTTATGTTACTAGTTGTGAGACCCGTATATTATACGGGTTGATTAAAACAAAATGTTAAATACAAACGATTAAATGAGAAATTTATTTGAATTTGAAATTTTAAATAAATAAAAATTATAAGAAAAAAAACATGCAAAAAATAAATAAATTAAAATTATTGTTTAGTTATCAGACTTGTATACTAAACAGGTTAATTATAACAAAATGTTAAACACAAAGGTTTAAACTGTAAATTTGTTTAAAATTGAAATTGATATTTAAAATTTAAAATTTGAAATTAATATCATTATGGTAGGTTTAATTTATGAAAACTAATTAATAATATATTAGAAATGGAAAATTAAATAAATGACGTGGAAAATAAATATATCTCTAAATTATGATAAAATGACATGTGGCAAATTGAATGAGAGGAGGACATGTGGCAAAATCATTCTTATTTATTAGGGTAGATTTCTTGGACCCAACCATCGGTTCAAATTTTGGATTCGTTCAATTTCCTCAACTCTTCGACAACATCAACAAATACGACACTTACACTACTGAACACGTGCTTGAGAACCGAATATGTACCTCAGGAATGGATGGTTTGGAAGGCATGTCATTCATGGGTACTAACGCCTTCTTCAAAAGAGAGGCTCTCACTGGGAAACCTACTAAAGCAAAATGGAAATGGAATGAACAAAATCAATCAGAATATGATTTAACATTGGCACATCGCGTTGCAAGTTGTAGTTTTGAGGAGAACACAAAATGGGGTTCAGAGGTATATATATATATATATTTTGATTATTGTCTACATATAGCAATGATAAGACATTTGCAATTTTTGTTTATGTATTTTTGCGTTTATTACGTTAATTGCAGATTGGATTTAGATATGGCACGTTGGTTGAGGATGCCTACACGAGTTTTAGATTGCAATGTTTAGGATGGAAGTCGGTGGCATGTAGACCAGATAGACCTGCATTTTTAGGAAATATGCCTATTTCCCTTAATGACTTTCTAATGCAAACAAAAAGGTGGTATATGGGTTTACTACAAGTAGCTATTTCTAAATTTAGTCCTATCACATTCGGAATAAGGAATATGAACCCTCTTCAGGCCTTGTGTCATGCATACTTTCAATTCCGTGCCTTTTGGTGTATTCCCATAATCATATATGCCTTTTTGCCTCAATTAGCACTTGTAAACTCCACCGCTATATTCCCAAAGGTGTGTACATATGACTGAAAAGGTTTTTTGAATACACATAGACAAACATTCTTGATTAAGTTATATATGATAAGAAAATGCATACTTTGGTGTGTAGGTATCAGACCCTTGGTTTTCTCTTTATGTATTCCTTTTCCTTGGAGCATATGGGAAAAATCTTGTTGATTATGTGGTGGCGGGATCAACGTTAAAAAAGTGGTGGAGTTACCAAAGAATGTGGTTGATATTGGGATGCTCGACTTACCTATTTTCATTTTTTGATTGGTTGGTTACGTCTCTTGGCATGTCAACATTGGAGTTTAATGTGACAAGCAAAGTGTCAGACAATGAACAAGAAATACGTTACCATAAAGGAATTTTCAGTTTTGGCGTAGAATCACCGATGTTTGTATCAATAAATGTGGCTGTGATTGTCAACTTTTTCGCCTTTTTTATGGGAATTGGGCATGTTTTGATCAATAATGGGAGGGTTGAAGAATTGTTTGGCCAGTTATTCATTACAGGGTTTGGTGTGGTAATTGGTTGGCCAATATTTGAAGGCATGGTATTGAGGAGTGATAAAGGAAAGATGCCTATCAAGACCACCTTGATATCAGTTTGTGTTGCTTTGTCTATTCACTTGTTGTTTTCTTCGGCATTTTAACAATCACCGGATATGGCAATGTTATTTTCACCATATATATTTGCTTTTTCAATTTTAATTGGCATTCTAGAAGATGATGTAAATTTCAGATAGATTGGAATGCATTATGAATGGCTTTCTTCTTCATAGTTGCCACTTGCCACTGATACTTCCCCTCACCACTAATAAGTTTTTTTTTGTTTTTTAAACCACACCTTCTAGAAGCAGAAATACAGCCACAAAATATTAAAAACTGCTACGAAATATTAATTGTATAAAAACATATTCCAACAATATTAAAACTTAATAACATGACATCGATCCAAAATTGCTCCAAATGTTAAGTACAAAATATGTTATAATCTAAGTTCAAAAGAGTTAGATATACATGTCTTAACTTTTAACAAAAAACCCCTAAAACCAGTTATGGATACCGGTTCCATTTCTTAAAACCGATTTACCCAGACCTAAAGGATCTGAAACCCTAATTACCCAAAATCTGGATAAAAAGTCATTCTTTAAACCTGAAACCAAACCAATCCACTACTACTTAGACCGGAGGGTGTGGGAGGGACTCTTCCCTCACTTTTGGTGGGCTATACCCCTCTTTCTCTCACTTTCCTTTCCCTCACCAAAACGGTGGGAAGCTCTTCCCTCACTTTTTTTTAATATATTTCATACATATATTATACTCATTTTGTAGGGAATTAAAAACCATGAATTTTGATATATATTTTTTATCCCACCTCTTTTCCCGCACTCCTTTCCCTCACCCACAGAGTAGTGTTCAAGAGGGGAGGGAAGCTTCCCTCACCCTTTCCCTCACCCCACTCTGTCTGGCCTTATTCTGATTCTAACGTTTTAGTTTTTCAGTTTTAAATCTCATCCATATGATGATATACATTATTTACTACTTGTTACTATATGTACCTATCTATGCATGCTTCAAGAAAACTGTCTTTGGTCATAAATTTGCTTTGAGAAGGATGCGCTAACAAAAGTTAAAAAGATAACACAACATTCAAGGGTTCATATTTAATCAAATTTCAATATCAATTGTAGAAGCATGGAGCCATATAAAAAATTAAAAAAATTAAAAAAAAAATATTCATCTTTTATACCAAACTCTCCAAAAATAATGCAACTATAAGACCAACCCTTCCACATTCTATAAACCGATAACTAAAGTCAGAGTCACCACAAAATGGGGCTAAAATCCCATAACAACATATACCAAGAAAACTTTTACACCATCTTTAAAACTCCAATCAACTTCATGTCCACTGTATAATCATAAAAATTGGAGCTTTTCTTTGATAATTACTCAAAAATATGCCTACTCTTTTTCACCCACTATTTAACACCATTCCAACTAATTTCATGCCCACATTCACCACAAATAGTGGTGCACCCTTGTTTCACACCTTGGCTCCTTAAGGTTAACATATGGGCTAAGTTTGTACATTTTCTTAGCACAAACCGGTCCCTTGAACACACCCGGGTGCACCGAGGTGGCTTCTTGGTTCTAGGTTCCGGTTTCGGTTCGGGTTTGGGTTCGGGTTCAACCTCGTTGTTGGTTGGTTTGAAAACGGGTGTGGGCCCTTCAACCGGGTTTCTTTGCACTTCTTCCCATTCTAGGGTTCTTCTGTATACTTCCCATGCCATGTCTTGTTCTTCTTTTGATAGTTTTTCATCTTCGTTTTCTTGGAGGAGACTTTCATGTTCGTGATAATTCGCAATCCATCTGAATAAACTTGGTATGTTAGGATAAACTTAAGTTTTTCTTTTTATAAAGAGGGAAAGATAGTGAATTATATATTACTTGGGGTGATGTTTACTGAGTAATGCTTCCATGAACTTGTCGGAAGAAACAGTTGCATGAAGAAGAGGATTGAATTGTGTAGCAGCATTGCCATCGAGTTGATCGACTTTATTATTTGATGTATTTAGGCTTTCATCATCACCAAAGGCAAACAAATGCAACATCTCTTCTTTAGATATTGTTCTATGTACTTGTTGTCTATCAACCACTCTTGCTGAAAGACTCTCCTTTGTAACTTATTTATTTGTTCAATTCATTATAAATTATAATTATATTCACTACAAACACGTTGCATGTGTATTCAACTCATGTCATTTTCACTATGAGTCATGTCGATAATGGACAAAAGACATAAATGCCCTTGTTGTCATTTGGCATCATGCATTGGACTAAGACCGAAACTCATGTTCAGTTGAACAAAATTTGCATTATTTTGTCCCGTCCAAAAAGGTGGGACAGAGACTTGCTCTCGATCTCTCTCGTCTGTGGAAAAAGACGAAAACACCCTTCTCATCCTCATCGTGTAAAATAGCACTAGAAAGCTTGTCCATTCCTGTCCTACTCAACAAATGCAGCCTTAGGTTGCATTTGTTGCACATGGTAGCAGTGGACTGGACAAACTTTTGGGTGCTATTTTACACAATGAGGATGAGAAGGGCATTATAGTATTTTTCCACAGACGAGATAGATCGAGAGCAAGTCTCTGTCCCACCTTTTTGGACATGACAAAATAATGCAAATTTTGTTCAACTGAATATGAGTCTCAGTCTCAGTCCAATGCACGATGCCAAATAACAACAAGGACATTTACATCTTTTGTCCATTATTCACAAATGTGATTATTACCTGACATTTATAAATTTTTTCTTCCATTGTCCCATGTGCCATTAGACGGTATGCAAACACGGGCTTTGTTTGTCCATATATGCTATTACAAAAGGGAGTTGAATTTATTTTATATAAAACTGATTAATTAATTAAAGTTGTTCTACTTTGAATTGTTAAAAATTTAGAATTATGATATACCTCCAAGCTCGATAAATAGCATGAAGATCATATGTTGGGTTCCAAGATCCATCAACAATAATAACACGATTAGCAGCATACAGATTAATACCAAGAGATCCAGCTCTGGTTGATATTAAAGTGCATTTGACCCTTTTATTTGAAGGATCATTAAACTTCTCAACTAGTTTTTGTCTCTCTGATCCTTCAGTTCTTCTATCTAGCCTGTTTTTATAAAAATAATTCAATTTTTAAAACCCAAAATAAGATGTACTGTATACAAGGAAAAAACATTAAGCATTAGGTTTAGAGTTTAGGGAATGAATAAGCTATACTAAACCTAATGTAGGAGATAGTTTAGATTTAGAAGGGTATATAAGTTTTTTTAGTATGTAATAACGCACATGTACCAATCTTTTCCTTGTTTCCAACATTTTCGGCTTTTCCATTTGCGGGGTAATTTGGAAAGATGTCTTTCAATCATATCAAGAGTGGCTAAACTTTGAATAAAAACCAGTGCCTAATCTCCAGCATCAGAACACAAGGTTAAAATATCAAGCAGTAAAACAATTTTACCACTGTTTTCAGCATCATAACCATTCTCCTGTAGAAGATCACCCCACGAATTCTGCAAATATTTTTTTTAAATGACATGAATCACATGATCAACTAAAAAGTACAAAAACAAAAACTTGAAACATTATTTACATACCTCCTTAAAAAAGCCACGAACTTTCTTTCTAGTTGATTGGTCTTTTATGTTCCTTATTTTATCTGAAAGAAAAGTGTATGAATATATAATTTGCAAAAAAAAGGAAAAAGAAAATGAAACTTTACCTCCATTGGCCATTGTATAATCCAAATTCTCATCACTAGAACTGTCTTCAAGAAAATTTTCAATAACATTTTCACGTTTCCCACTGTTTCTATCTTTCATTAGTTGCAATATTCCAAGATGATTCCATATCTAGCAAGTGGAAACCATATTACAATAACTTAATAGATTAAGTCATGTTGCGTTTAAGTCTATTAAGTTAAAAAGAATACCTGAGCCAATGCTTGATAACTGGCAAAAAAACTCTTCCTAGTTTTTTATTGAGAAGCCTTCTCTTCAGTGAGTCCATGAACATCAAGGAATTTTTTGTAAAGTACCCTTTGCATAGGAGAAAGCTTCACATCAATTAGAAAAATAGTTTTTGGAGGTAAATCCTTCTTCACAACATTCATATCCATTCTTTGGACATATCCCTTTAGTTGTTCATACAAAATGTGAGATCTTTGGTTCATAATTTTTGTCACACCCGAAAACCATGAATGGCGGAAACATTCTAGGGCGGAGGACGTCATATACAGTATCACAAAAATGAATAGTAGTAAACAAGCGACAACATCATCCATTGCATTAATATTATAATTTCATACATGTGTGTTCTATCAAAGTTATAGACACCAAAAATATACATATCAAAATAAAAGTGAGTCTTGAACGAACTCCATCTTCTCAAAAGCCTGGCACCTGTACCTGTCTAGTGGTGACCTGAGAATACAAGTTATTTTGAAAACGAGTATCAGCTTAATGCTGGTGAGATCATTAGTATATTAATGTCTGAGTTTGTATGAAAATGTTTGAAAGTTGTTTCTGTAAAATGTTTTGTACAATGTTTTGTATAATGTTTGAACTCTCCTAGAAAACCCTATGTTTTCTACTAACCGTAGCCTTCTACCAAGGCATATAGTGTTCGTGTATATGTCTCTTGTTAGAGTGTGTGTTTCCCAAATTCTGACTATCATTAACCAAAAATATAGTTACTATATTACCGTGCATCGTGTGAATATTCACGAAGTGAATGTAATAGGAAAATATTATCGTACCGTAGTATTTGTAATAAGTGACTACCGTGGTACTAACTCCCTTAATACAAAAAGGTGTTTTCAAATAACATGTGATCGACCTGTATCCTGCTACCGAATCTAGTAAAAAACGATGTAAGACGCCGTAAGAAATGACATTTGGCACCTGTAGACTTGCAAGTCCCACTTTAGCGAGCAGCAAGGTGTAGGATAGTCAATCCAGTATAGATCTATACGCAAACTCATACGCTCTCCAATTAAGGAGATTCGGGATACAAGAACGGTCATGGCAGGAAGTGTTGGATTAATGTCTAAGTCCATAACTATATTTGGTATGTACTTGACCCGACCCGGCATGGTCCATTTGGGTTGCACTTCACCGACACAATTTATATGGATAATCTTTTGAGAATAGTATGTTTATGATTAATATTAATATATTATAAGTTCTAATATATTATTATGGAATCATATTATTTAATTAGTATTGATCAAGAATTAATTTATAATTAATTAAGTGATCAAAAGGAACTAATTAAATATGGACTCTTATATATATGGAATGGGCCAAGTTCATTTAGGTTGGGCTAAGCTTTCATGGATAGTCCATGGAGTGTTTAACCCATGGATCCTAGGAAATGAAAGGTCATGGGTATTAGGGTTTAACCCTAATCCTCCACACTATATAAAGATGTCCTTGGTTGGTGAAATTGGCACTAATGTGGTACACCAAGAAGGGCTAGCCAATTTCACTAGAGAGAACCAAGTATCCATATTCTCTAAAGTCTTCCAAGGTGTTTTGGTGATTTGTGATTCCACTTGAGGCTTCCACACTATTGGGGCTAAGCTCTTAAAGCTTGAAGACATCAAGCTACATCAAAAGGTATGTATTCTATCTTGTTACACTCATTGATTTGTATGCTAGATTAGGATAATACCTTGGAAGTTCTTATTTGCATGTATAATAGAGAAAACATAGATCCAAGGTATTTAGGGTTGCATGTACACTTAGGAGTGTTAGAATGCTCAAAACCCAACAGTGGTATCAGAGCCTAGGCTTGTTTTCTTCTTATACTTGCAAAACTTCTTAAAAAATCGAAATTGTTGCTGTCTGATCATCAGACTCGGCGAGTCCATGCCTAAAAAGTGATCAAATCGATCCAACTCGCCGAGTTGGTTCATGCACTCGACGAGTTGGACCCCCAGACAGCATATTTTCGAGGTTTTTGGCTAGAAATGGACTAGGAACATTACCCTAAGTTGTTTTGAACTTATAAACTTGTTTTTCGAAGAGGTAATGTTCATGCTAATCCAATTTTAAAGATAATTGTCAATAGATTCATGTTTTGTATCAGTTTAAGGTTAACCTTAGACTAATTACATGAAAAAGTTTGATTTGAAGTATCTTGTTCTTATGAGTTGCTTAGATTAATAGAAAAGTTAATTGAAATAGTTGTTTTCAATCCATTTTAATCTAAGAGTTGAGTATAAAATGTGTTTGTGTAACTTGTCCTCAAGTTACATGAAGAGTCACATTAAAGACTCATAAAACTCATAAAAGTTGGTAATGGTTACAAAATGAAGAGTCTTGTGTCATTGAATATTTTTTTTATGACTCCATAACTTGTCTTCAAGTTATGGAAGTTCAAGAGTCACTTCATTAAAGAGTAAAAGTGTAACCTTAATTAATTTCATAAGTTATAAAAATAAAGAAAAGTTAATTCTTTTATTAGTTTAAAGTCTTCCATAAGTTATGGAACTTGAAGAGTTTTTGGATTAAAAACTACTTTAAACACATAAGTTATGGAATTAATTAGTTTTTGAATAATTTCAAAAACTTGCCCTCAAGTTTTGGAATTTGAAAAGTGTTCTCTTATGAATACTTTAAATTCCAAGTCAGCCCTTAGAATTTTAAAAGTTAAAATTCAACCCTTACACTTTATAATATTATAAGTTAATAATATATATATATATATATATATATATATATATATATATATATATATATATATGTATAAGAGTAAAGTCAGTCTTACCGCTAGTACGCCTCATTCACGAAGCCGGTCTATAAGGTGGGTATAAGGTTGTTGCCTATAAAATGGCAACTTAATGGGTGTCCACTCTCACCCAGCGCTTGCTTGACTGGTGGAGGGTCGTTAGCCGAACGGGTTTGACTGGACTATAATTCTCCCTTCATTAAAAGTATTAATGATAAATACTAAGTAACTAAACTCTTAATAATTCCCAATCTTAGTTACTTAGGAAAAATGTGAATAAGGTGCTAATCCATGAAATTACACTTTGCACTTTGTTTAAGTCGGTTAGTGGAGCGTGTGTGGTTAACCGGCACACTAACTCGTATTTAACAAGGTAGGCAAAGGGTAACTTAATGTTTATCATA